ATAATTGGGATCTTGTCTTTATCTCTGTGGGTGCAGGGTGGTAATACGGCGCTCGCTTGTAAGTGGTGTCTGGGGTGCGTGGGTGCCTTCTGAGGTTTGGCTCCTGCCTAGAGCTGCATGGGATTCCCGGGTTTGTTTTGTTGCCTTTCTGTGCTGCTTGCGCGGTTGCTTTGGTCTGCGTTGCTTTGGCTATGGTACTTTAGCTGTTTCCGATTCTCTCCCTCTGTGGCTTGCGTCAAGCTCGCCTGCGTTGCGGGCGTGCGGCTTCGGTGGCGACTGCTGTGACTTGGTGCCTTGAGCTCGGCCATCGCGCTGTCTGCCTGTGTTGGAAGGTTGGGTTTTCTCGTCTGGGCCTCGGGCGTACTTCCTGCCCTGCCTCGATTTGTTACTTGTTAGCATAGTGGTTGGGTTTATTGCCTCTAGTACTACCTCCTGGCTTCACGTGCGCTATTTTGCTGTACCGGAATTGGCTAGTGCTCTCCGTGGTTGCAAATGCGTTTAGGAATCTTGACAACAATCTACGCTACGTATCTGGTTGAATCTGTTCTGCGCTAGATTCAGGGCTTAAATTGTGTACAAACTGAGTTGTCGCTTTTACCTTTACCGCGCCTTGGACGTAACCCATTGTTATTGAGAGTCCCTCTAGATCATTTAGGGCAATTGATTAGGTTCTTTTGTGAATCCCCTTTTTAATTCCACGCTTTCTAGCACTCCCTCGTCCGGGATTTTATAAGTTAACCATCCGTCAGTGAAAATTTTGCAGATAATCCCAACTGGCGCATGCGTCACCGCCTTGTGAGTCATCGCCAGCTTTGGTGTGCTGTGACCAATCGAGACGCGAGTTGTGGATGTCCGGGTTTTAGGTCATGCCAAGGTAACACCAACTCCTTACAAAGGGTGTTAAGCCATCAATTGGAAAAGATGGCAGTACCTTAAAGTTAGCCTGGGTCACGTACACTTCTGCATTGTTACATTCATTTAGAAATGAGAATTTCGCTGAGTTACAGGCTTATTTCAAATCTAAACCTCAAATCCTCAGTTTTGATCGATACGACGATGGCTTTAACACTGGTGTCACACTACAAACGTCAGTCAACCTTAAAATCTACCTAAGAACGTGACCACACACCAGTCGGGGTCGTGCCACCCTCTTGAGAGAGCAAACCACCATTCAGGACAATAACGGGGCTACCTTCCCAGCTGACATGTTAAATCACTTGTCATTTAATCGTAGACAGATTTCTCCCTTTTGTAACATTGTAACCTCTACTGAGATTGTCTATGGTATCATTCTTCATTCCGGGTCACGATTTTGATTATTCGAACGCAGTTAGCCCGATTTTAACAGAGTTCTGTCCGTGCAGAAGTAAGCTACTGGAATCCCCATATAGTGTTCTGTCCCCGGCGGATATATTCACAACTCCAAAAAAACGCATTTAAACGTTCTCGGAATTTGATTTCCTACATATTCTAAAATACTCCCCTTGTGATTCCTCATTGAGTTCGCCTAATTGACCGATAATGATGCGGAGGCAAACACTACATGTACTTATGATCAAGGTGAGATCAAGGCGATTGAAAATAATGTAAATATGAGACAATGGAACCACCTATTAGGCAGCCAGTAATCACTTATGCACACGCCGTATCCCATCAGGAAATGAAGGCGTCCGCATTGATTGCCCTGATCAGGAGCTTGGACAGAATTCAAGTTCACGCACGTAGCCACCATTTCACAATAGCTTGACACCCATGATGATTAAAATACAACTCGATGGGAAACAGTGCATCTTGCAAGCAAACACATTCCAATGTGTTACAATGCTACATTCCAGTCTGGTTCATTTGAATCGCCATTTTCCTGAATTCCTCGAGGACTGTCTCATACTCCTGCGTAGTGTTCCACCACGCCTGATAGAAGTAATCCTTCCAGCCAACTAGACGGCAGTATTCATTCCACAGTGCCAGTTGCCGGGGTGAAAGACTCAAAGGCAGTTGGTCGGTCGACGTGGCAGCATCAGCAACAGCAACGTGGTAGTGCTGTTTGTGAATCCCAGGCTCTTCTGCCTCGGAGGGCTCCAAGGATCGACAATTCGATACCGCTTTCTCCTCTCTCGCCACTGCTGTTGAGGTTGGATGGCTCCCCAGGAACCCCAACATCTGACGAAGGATATTATTTTCCAAATCAGCCGCGAGTCCTGAGGTTTCGACGGGTTCTTGAACACCTTCATCGGTGGATAAGTGCACACGTATTGATGACTACAATAGCAAAAGGAACCTTTGTGGAATAATGATTTCCAGAGGACAATGCGACACTAACATCGACATTGACAACAACTCATAGAGAGTACTTTTAATTCCGATTGAGAACCACTTAATTGTGGTTTTCTGAAGTATTGATACTCAGTGATATGAATTTCATGTAGATTCACAAAATTTAGCCAGCTAAAAAGACCACAACAGATCTTATCACAACGAATACAGGACAGAACTCGGCATAGGTTGCTACTGTGGAATGGGAAAATATGAGGAACTCAAAGTAATTTTATCAGACATTCTTAACTCAACGTTTCTCTGGTTACCTAATCACCTTTAAACACCAGGCCGAATGGAATTGTGAATAACTTACCCTCTTCAATGCTGCTTCTGTGTACAGCTTCAGGTTCTCCATGAGACTGAGTTCCTTGACAGGATACTTGTCACCGCTTGCATTTGATGCACTGAGAGCTCCCCTTTTACCAGAGAGCCTCTTTGCTACACGCTTGATAGTTTCGGGCCTGCTCGAACCAAGTGGATCACTCTCCAATGTGGTGGCCAGTCTCGTCACAGTTACCAGATTGGAGAGGTCTACTGGACACTCCGCGGTAGCCAAATCTACCGGAAGCGGTTCTACAGGAGACGAGAACACACTAAAACTTTGATAAGTCTGAAACAGTGTATTCGTGCTTATCGAAGCCAATTTGCGGAATAAAAATGTTTACCTGGAAGCTGGCGAATCGGAGTCGAACCCGGGTCCTCGATTCTAGATAACAGTTTCACCTCGTCGACCGTATCGGCCACCAGTAAAATGGATGCACCATAGCTTCCTAATGGCAGCACGATCAAAAAAATACTTTAATAGATGAACCGCAGAGACTCTAAATCAAAAGTGCTTCAACATTCAGCTGCACACATCCGACGGCTTAATGAATAATGCTAGGCGGGACCAAGAAAGCACAACCTAAACTGAATGGGGAGCCATACCAAAGCGGCCTGCCCTTCCAATCCGGTGCAGATACACATCTCGATTCCAAGGCACTTCAAGGTTGATCACCAAGTTTACATTTTCTGCATCTATTCCACGCGATGTCTTGAGAAGTGAAAAACAAAGGAAACAATTATGAGCGAATATAGGAGACAAATTTTCAAAAAGGAAACTATTTGTTAGTCTGTAACTAAATAGCGCTCTTCTAAGGTAAGACCAATAGATTATACGCGAGTTTACTGATTTGTAATAATTAAAAACTCGAATAGATATTCTTTCTGAAAAGGTGAAAGAAGAGAGTGCTGAATAAACTAAAAGAAGAGGAAACTTCAGTTATTGTTGGGTCATCAAACCATTGGAGTATAAGTCGTTTGATCAAAGGAGAGGTGTAGCCACGATGCATTGCAACCCAGTAGAAGCAAAAGGAAACATTGAAGAGTAGGAAAAAGGGCTATTGTAGGTATATGGGTGGGGAGAATACGCAACAAAAGGTACCAGATCAGTGGATACGAGGATTCTACACTGAAAAGCGCGAAGGCTGTTGAAAGCCTTGAAGCGTTCCTTTTGGTCTAGACCGCTAGAAATGTAGGTGACGGGCCAACCGGAGCTCCGAAGCGACTCACATAACTGCTCCGCACTAAAAAAACCAAGTACATTGGAATCTAGATAAAATCCGCGTACGATCGGCTGCCTGGAGGCTACTTTAATTCGTAGCGTAATTTCAGCTGCTGTTCGAAACATAAGCCACAAAAATCGAAGTAAGGTGAACCAACTACTAGCGGTTAGAAGTAATGTATTCGTCATTTTAAGCAGTCAGGATGCTACATCAAATATTCTTAGCCAACATTAACGAAATTGCTTACCTGTTGTGGAAGTTAGAAAATACAAGACATTGCTTAAAGTCCAATTCCTTTACAATTCGCAACAGCTCCTTAACCTTGGCCTTGAAGACAGCTGCAGGAGACGCAGATTTTGTTGGAACCTTGTGAAAGAACTGACGAACACCCAGCAAGGACGGGTTGTCGGAAGAGAGGCGCACCAAAGCTGGCGACTTTAAGTACCTAGGAAGGTGATTTTTCACGAGGTGCTCAGTGTACGTCGCCGAAAGTGCCAGCACCTGTTTGGATTCCGGTAGAGCCCACCAGATGTAATTGATGGCGGCGGGGAAGGTGTTTTTGCCAGCCAGCAGCTCAGCATCCGTGACTTCAGGACCGGCTCCACCGCTGAATAGAAGGTCAGCTTCATCCAAGATCAGGAGGCGGACGCTGTCGCAGTTAATATGGCCAGCGCTTATGAGATACTTCAGCCTTCCCGGTGTGCCCACTGCCACATGACAGCGACTCACATGCTTTACATCTTCTGACAATGAAATGCCTAAAAGATATTTCAAATCAAAGTAAACGGGCGTGTCAACTTCCCCTCGACTAAGAAGGTGCATGGAGTAAAAGGCATTTGAGGAAACAACTTAGACCTTTTTACAAATAATCTCACCGAATACTTTTTGAAGCAGTACACAGTAGTGTTTGGAAATTTTGTGGAGGCGTTTGGATATACAGTCTTGAGGATGAACTAGTATAAGGTGGGGGTAATAAGTGGACAAAGTTTTACTAGCTACAAAAGTACCGCCAACAAAGAGTTGAACTTTGAGACCAGTGATGAAATGACCGAGTTGGCGGATGACAGAAGCCGATTGCAAGGCAATCTCACGGGTTGGAGAGATGACGATGGCCTGGACACCCTTCCTCTTAACGTCGATTGCCTCAAGTGTTATTATTGCAAAAACAACAGTTTTGCCCGTTCCCGACTTCGCCTAGAAAGAAAGAGCAAACAAGTGCTGCTTCGAGAGGAACATGGAAATCAATGCGTGGTAATTCTCCTAAAAAACTCAGAGAAACACCAGGGTAATAAAAAACTTTTATGTTTCTTACTTTCTTACTTAGTCCTAAGGTCTTAAAAAACGCATTCATGAACCCAGAGGGGAGATGCACAAACTAGTCTTTGATCCCTCAAGGGGGCACAATTCAAATAAATATGTAATAAAAAAGGAAGATTAACATCCATCTTAGTCACAAGCCAACAGGCCACAAAAATGTGTCTTTATTAAGCGCGTGTCACATAAATGATCCAGTTCTCCATATTCAGTCCAGCTGCTAAAGCCATGAAAATGGACCGTTAGTATTAAAGAACTGAACACCGATAACTGTATGTCAGTATGCTTATTATCTTGATATTACAGGTGTCGCAGCCTGTTAAATACACGGAATTGCATAAAAGGTAATTGCAAAGATTTCTACTGTTTCAAACCGTAATCGGGCAAACGTCTACCCGGTTAGAAAAATTTTCAATGGCTACGAGTGAGACCAACCTGCACGATCATGTCAACTCCAAGACGTCCCAAAGGAATGGCCTTCACTTGGACGGGCGAGGGGCGCTGAAAGCCGGCGGCCCGGAGACCCTGCAGGACATCCACCGAGAGACCCATATCGGTGAAGGAGAGGGTAGTCGTGTGGGAGAGCAGGTCGTTCGCCGAGATGACATCCTCTGTACGTTTGCTCGAGTCCAACTGGTGGGCCATACGCACTCCTTCCGACTCTTCCGCTATCAAATCGACCATACTCTACAAATGAATGGACATTGCTTTAGGTAGTCCGAAAAAATTAACAGCACGACCAAACAAACCTCTCAACGCAAATGATCGGCATGCAATTGAAGGGAATTTAACTTTACACTAAATCGCTAACCTATAACCCTATTACTTTACTAACAGTGGTAAAGTTACGCTATTGAACCCCTTTCAAGGACATATTAAACCACTCCATTAGAAGGAAGAAGTTGATAGATATCCAAGTATTGACGACGTAATGCGAACAACTTGTAGGGAACAGCAATGAATAACAGGTTCTCATCGCACCACTCCACAACAAACAATCGTAAGTTGTAACTGAACCGGCGGAGTGACGTACACGATACTCGCCGTCAGACTAGCCAAAAGCGCCTACAGATATCATGACGAACGAAAGCTAGGAATGGACCATGACTCTAGATAGTTATCGCTTTAAGAAAAATCTACGTGTGTGTCTACAAGCACTTCAAGATTCACCAGCTCACGATCACGGGGCCATGCATACGAATGGGGGTGTTCATCCGTTGATCGAAACCCGTGGGACACTCAAAGGAGGCAGAAAGACCCACACATCAGCACAACTGAAGGGAGGATTATACATTATTTTATTAAAAATAAGATACAAATTTGCTTACCGAAGAAGGATGGTTAAAGTAGAGCCTTTTTTGAAACAAAGCGCACATTGACGTAGGGGCAGATCGACACAGATAACACACGCGCGCATACAATATTCTTTATGCAGAAGTGGTTAAGAGCAGCGTGTGGATAGTAAATATAAAATGGGAGGGAAAGGAAGAAGGAACAATAAATGTTTGCAGAAAGTTCATGTGTACACGAAAAAAAAAATTAGATGGAGGAAGGGGGAGGTTGAGAAGGGGGCTCGGTGGTAGAGGGATCTGATTGAATTATAGTTTCTACGGTGGAACCGGTGATGGTGGTAGGAATATTGATGAGAATGGTGTCGATGGGATTACCCACTTCGTCGGTGGCGGTCGCTGACGCCGCTGTCGCAGCAACAGTACTGTCTGCTGTGGCAGGGGCTGGAGAAGGCGCCACTGGGGCGGCAGTCGTGATAGGAGGAGCGTAGCGCCAAATGCAGACGAGATTATTGTCCGTCACTGCCGCCAGAAAATGACCATCAGAACTCATCTCCACGCTATTGACTACGGGATTTCGAAAACCAGACGTGATGGACTCCTTTAATTGTTGATCCTCATCTCGATTGCCTTGGACCGAACACTCAGGCCATTCTAGAATCTGGGGAGGAAGAAAATGCATGTAGACGCGAGAAAGACCATGCACGCAAGTACGCACGTTTACACGTGAATAAATCCTTGTACTCCGCATTATAATTCCACGTAATTCCCGAAACCAACATACAAATGTTCATTTTCATGGGTAAAATCGATGGGACCAAGTGGCTCATAATACAAAAACAGTGAAGAAATGGGCATAATGGACCGAGCAAATTACGTGATAGATTTGGGTTAAATGTAGCAGAAGTTAACATTAAGAGCCCACGTCTTTTAAGGATAGAATGCGAAACTTCGCAGAAAAATTAGTGAACTTTAAGAATGTCAATAGCACTGATGCTGAATAGAAAAGTACTGCAGTGATTTGATAAGGAAGCGGACTCTTCAATCGTTGCGGCATAATCGAAAGGTCAAGCCTACAGCCCCCCGCCCCTTTTCTACGTCGATAACAAATCTCCCTCAATGGTGGTACGGCGTATTACGACTTCATGAGAGACTTAGGACGACATAATACCTTAATTGGTTTAACAAAGAACTTCTTTCTGCTGGACGAATGAAGATCATCGAGATAGGGATCAAGGTCGTAGATCCATATAGCACCCTCATTGTCTCCACAGATTACAGCACCGAGGTTTTGACGCACTGAGACATTGATGTAAATTTCATCGGTCTTTTGCCAATACAAATGACCACGCATTTCGATTGGTACAACGCGTTGGAGACCTGGAGGCCAAGAAAGAAAAATCAGGTTAGCAAAAAAGGCAAAAGAATATGTACTTTAATGGGTTTGTGGAACAGCACGTGGTGGCTTCATTTTACGTACAATGAGCAATCGTGCATTAAATTCTATCAATGTGCAAAAAGAGATCGAGAAACCACGTTTGAAGATAAGATAATGAGATGTCTAGTTAGCATTTAATGCCAAATACCCAAAAATGCACAACAAATCGCATATTTATCAAATAAGCAAAAGATCGGATATTACAAACAGGCTTGATGAAAGCGACTGACCTTTTCGCCGCTCGAGCACAGCGGCGAAATCAAACACCATGATTTCACCTGATTCGACAACTTTGATGACGAGAGAATTGTCACTCAACTGGGCCAGTCCATCAATGCAGACTTCATGATCCACCTCCAGTTTGAGCTCCATGTCGGGTTCACGCTCGCGTTTCTCCAGTCGGAGGTCGGTGATCTTCCATGCGAAGAGACCGTCCTCACATCCAGCAATCAGGTAGGCGTAGTGCGGTAGGAAAACCAGATTCAACACTGGGTTAACGTCCAGTCGGGGACAACGGAGGCGCATCAGCAGCTGGTAGCGAGTCTTGTAGTCGGGGACTGAGGGGACTCCAATGTCCCAGACAATTACGGAGGCCTGGATACATAAGCATAAATAAAGTCCAATGAATGCACAGGCTTTTAGAAAAACACGGGCTTAATTTCGAGAGGACATAGGCTGTTGAAAGACAAGTTGAGGTGTGCAGCTCACCTTAGAGTCTCCACTGAATAGTATGGTGGGTTGTGTTTGATGGAAAATCATAGCAGTGATGTCCTCTGTGTGGCCCTTCATCTCAGCATAGCAAACTAGCTGCTCCGGATGCAGCAACCGAATTTCGCGCATACGACCGGCTGCTGCCAAAATGTTGGTGCGCTTATTGCCCTCAACCTCTACTGTGGTCCAAGCGATTGTGTAGAACTCCTACAAAGGTCAAGAGATTGTCTTTACAGTACATAACCAAAATTGTTAGCATTAGCGAATCTGTTTAGAAGATGCACAAACGCAAAAAGCCCTGACGAGTGAACTTGCCTCCTCCATGTGTTTGAACCTCTTCATTACTTTGCCGGTAGCACAGTTGATTAGGCAGACGCATTCGCCGCCACACGTGGCGACCACGTGTGTGGTTTCTTCGGGGCGCAAGGGATTGGGCTCGAAGAGACAGCGCCACACTTTGGTCTCGCTGTCGCCCGCGTCATTGTCCTTGGCGTGACACCGAATGAAGTGTAGCGGATCATAGTCAATCATCGAGGCATCCGTTCGTAGCCCTCCCACAGTACCCGAGGGTGTCAGGTAGCTCGGTGTAAAGCCATAGGTGGGCTCCGCACACAAGTCACGGAGACTTCTATAGATACACCAAATAAGTAAATAAATCAAGTGTTAGCACGAGGCACATAACATTACATTAATGACCTTAGGTAATCACACGCGAGACCGTGAACATAGCAAAGCTGAAGTCTATTTTAAATGATAATGTTGAGAATTAGGAAAAACAGGTACACAGGTCACTACAAGACCCGTTAACCGGACTACTTGATACCCAACACAGCATTTATTTCTAATAATGAATACATTAGGATCAAGAACAATCAGCCACAGCCTCATTTCAAAAAGCAAATTACTAGTAAAATACTATCCATGACGTACACCAAGTGACCCATGGTAGACTACATAAGGCTTCTAGACGGTAATATAACCTGACAACAGAATTGGTATCAACAGTCATCGCGCACAAATACACTATATGCTTAAGATGGACGACTAGCACCTGTGCATGCCGAGAGGCTTGCGTTTCTTTGGCCGTGGAGGTAAACCCGCAGCATTGCCCCCAAGACCGGCGTCATCGAGGAGTATGCCACCAGTGGCAGTTGCTCTCTTCATGTTCTGGCCGCTTCTGGGCATCGTGGAGTGCAGCGGCGGGACTACGGGGTTTTTGATACTGCCGAGGTCACTGGGGTTTATCTCACTCAACGGCACCAATGCGGGCACCGGTGCTCCGGGCGTTCTAATCGTGGACGCGGGCTCCGACTTGCGGGGGCGACCTGGTCCATTGCGTCTAAGCAAGCGGGTGAATATTTATCAGTTCTCAAAAGAATAGGTAAATTTAATTAATGTATTAAAAAAAACAAACACAATTTTGGAGGAGGGAAATTAATGTACCCAAAGGAAAACGAGTACAGAAATGAAAGTAAGGGGTATTCACAAGAAACACTTCAGGAGGAAATTATTAAAAACAACCTACTTTCGTGGCGTGGCTTTTTGGCCGAGGGTCTCTTTAACGGTCTTTTTATAGATTTCCGAGGCCATGTAGCCCTTCACATAGTCCTTGTTGCGCAACTCGCCAGGGAGGAACTCGGCCACTGGACGACCTGAGATTCCGCTAGGACGAACCACCGTCATGACGATTGATCGGCCCGCGCGTAGTGACTTGCCTAGATGCATTTGGTAAGGAGGCTGATTCTGCATTGCACCCATCTGCATCTGACCGTGGGGTGTCACAGGAATCACTTGCTGTTGGGTTAGGCGACCCATACTGTCCAACACCATCATCTGCATGGGTTGACTTTGCTGCTGTTGCTGAAGGAGTAGTGGGTCGGGAAAATTTACTCCCAACAATTCGTCTGCTGCGTCAAAGAGGGCTCTCTCGCCTGAAACAGTTTCACACCATCGCTACCAGTTACGGATAGTTCTGCTTGAATAGGAGGGAAAAAAATTGGACCAAATAAAAATAGGTTTGTACCAGCAGTTCGAGCTTCAGCTTCTCTTTCCTCCTCATCTTCCTCGTCACCCTCGTAGTGCGCGGCGGGATGGAGAGACTCATCCTCACCATCATCTACCACAATTGCCTCTCCCAAATCCGCAACGGCGGTGGATTGCGGCTCACCGCCGGAGCCTCCATCGACGTTGGCGGAAGATGAGAGCATGGCAGTCGACTCCTCATCGTCATCCACCACATTTGGCATGGGCACTTCCGCCTCGAGGGCAGTAGCCAGCTCATTTGCGCGCTTTTCGCGCTCGCGCTGAGCGGCCGAGTCCGCCTCCGCTGCTGCTATCTCCAAATCCGGCAATTGCTGCTGTTGCTGCTTCGATCGGAGATACTCGTCCACTATGCGATATGCCTGGGTGATGTTAAAGCAACCCAACATTTGACACGAAGACACCAACAGACAAAATCATGAGACAGCCTACGAGGATGACACTTACAAGCAAATTTTTATAGGGTACCACGGTATCATCCAGCATGAAGTTATCCTTCAACTGTTGGATCATAGTTTCGATGGATCGAAGACGCTCTTCTTGGGTGCTGGTTGGTTGCAAGCGGTCCGCAAACTCATTCTCCCACTTTGAGCGGATCTGCAGAATACACAAAATGAGTAGTTTAACTGGTGTGAAAGAGGTTTCGATTAGTACGTCACTTAGGAAAACACTAATCAAACGACAGTGTCACCAAAGCCGCGTAGTGAAAAATAACAAACCAAATTAGGATGTTTCAAGTCAGTTTAAAAAGGCACTTCTAGTGTGCGATAGGGGACATGATAAAGCTCGAACAACTCACATATGGCTCCATGATAGCCCTCGCCTCTTGAATTACGCGGATCGTGAAATCTGAACAGATTTCATCAAAAAACTGGCCATTGATTACTTTCAGTTTTGGACAGAAGTATGCCAGCATTTGAGGATTTAGAAGCTAAATAAGGTAATGTGCACTTAATATGGAAACGTTTTTTGAATAAACTAACAGACAATATAGAGCTCATACAACCAGCAACTCATTAGCCACTACATTGGACGTGAGTCCAATAAGAGCGAGCTTGAACAAAACAAGTGTAGATTGGAACATTTTGACAAACCTGTTTCAGCCTCTCATCGATAGTCAAACGCGTCAACTTCGGGAATTGTTCGATCAGTGGTAGATGAATAAACCTATTGCCTGACAAACCTAGCTTCTTCAAATTCGCAAGATGCAAACGTCTAGGAAAGACTCGAAGAGCATTCTCGCTTAGATCCAATTCCTTCAAATTCGTGCACCGCGTTAAATCGAAGGCATTTACACTTGTGTAGCCGCTGCAGGGAACCAAAAGTTCAGTCGCATTCTCTAGACTATCTGCGCCAGATAGACGGAGGATTTCGGCCATATCGAGTGGTGTATCGTCTTCCTCGACAAGCAACTCGAGAGGACAGTTCTCAAACTCTGCGTCTGTGCGTGGGTCGACAACGGTAAACTGAGCACGACCAAGTTTCTCCAAACTGAAGTCGGAGAGCAGGGCAATAGCTTGCGCACCCCCTAGGGGCTGAATGAGTTCGCTACTGTCAAGGCCACAAGAGGACTCGTAGTCAATAACGTCGCCACTGCTAGCGTCAGCGGCTGTAGTGATACTGAAACCGCCGCCACCTCCGCCACCAAAATCACTGAGGTATTCACTGGAGTAGGTAAGGCCACAGCCAGTGGTTCCTCCAAATGCTGCCTCGTTGCCATGAATGCGCATCTGGCCTGAGGGATTTTTGCTTGAGCCACCACGTTGAGGCCTGCAAAAATCACACACAAACCGACGGTTAACTGCGGATCAAGTGGTACAAACGCTGCATAAACTACATAGAGAGCTAAAAATAGACAATAAAAACGCACCATCGATCACCATGAACCGACTGATGATGCGAGGGAGAGGACGGAGCAGGAATTCTGGACAATTGAAGACCGGATAGTGTGAGCACACGTCTGGCCCATTCGGTCAAATGGAGAGTATGAGTAAGTAAACTGGGCCGCAATTTAGCAACGCATGCAGCCGCCTCATTCATACCCATCTCGTAGGGTGATAAACGAGGGGAAGGCATTCGAGGGCCACTTTGATATCGGCCGTAGATGGCACTTACATCACGAATGTACTCCATCTCTTCATCCAGTCGCTCAGGGCTAATATTCATCAAACGAACTGCATCGGTGTACACAAAGTTTTCAACTAAACTGCACTGATCTCTGCTTTTCAGTGCTAAGTTGGGTAGTTCTGGTGCGAGCTCCTGGGCAGCACGGGCTATTATTGCGTATTCCTGAGCTGTTAATTCTGGTTTTAAGGCGTCACGTCTTGGTGCAAGCAGACCGGATTTCTGAAGAAGCATGGAGGCGCTAGCAGGAGCCGCTGTTGAAGGTCTGAGGGATTGGGTGTTCTCCTCTGCTTCCAGAACAGTTCCCGAAGATGACCCTGTAACGTAGTCATCCATTGGAGTGTAGTTAGCAGCACGCGAAATTGGAAACTCGAAACCGGTCATACGAACAGCTATTTTTGCTAACATTGCGAGGTCCCGCTTGTGGAAAATGGCTGCGGGTTGTACGGTAGAGATTTGATAGGCTGCTTCGTTGACAGCTTGCTAAACAAAATTTGATGAAAAAAGTAGAAGTAAACGCACCTCATAAAGTGGAAGAGCTTGTGAATGCGCTCCGGAAGCCTCGAAAACCATGGAATGTTTTCTCATAGATTCTATGTGGTCAACTGTTTCTTCCTCCTCTCCTTTAAAGTCCATAAGATCCATCATTTCTTGATAGTCTAACTCAGTGCCAAACTTCTTACTGTATGAATCAGGTAAGAAATGGCGATCGTGTTCAACCAGCACATTGCGTGCAGCTTCTTGAATAGCAGCAACGTGTTCAGAGTGCAGAAAGCCAGGATGCCAATATGCCTGACCAGGGCGAGAGGTCCCCTCACCACCTTCATACTAAAGGCTGAAATAAAGCAAGGAGAACCTTACGTTGACGCATTCTTCAACAGCCATATCAGTATCAATGGGCTCATCGCCCGAAGCTGCAGTAGCAGCAATAATGAGGCTGTCAATATCGCTATTCCGCTCGTGCGGATTCTGATCCAGTAGATCCATGTTGTAAAAGGACAATCAGAGTGACAGCACACAGGCCCTGCATAAAAAGCAATTACGTGTTAATAGCACCAACAACATTTAAAGACATTCGGAGGAAATAAAATATTGCGGCGAAATGGGACTTCACATGATGGTCACATAACACAGAATGACAAGAGGTAAGGAAATAAAACCAAACATATTATTTCTCTTAGGCTAATAAATAAAACCGAGCAAACACAAAGAAACGGGACAGGAATGTTAATACTAACGCTTAAGACACAATTTCAAAACAAGACCTACAGGGTTACAGTTACCAAGTTCAAGCTCTTAAAACCATTTCGCAAAATGGACGAATTAAATAAACTGCTACTAAAACACGTACACGAAATTTGAAAAACCGGACACCCATGCAAGACCAAACCGAATTCACACTACACGGCATGAATAAAGACAATCTCTCTGGGACAACAAATGCAAGGAAAAACAGGATGTAGAATAATAAAGCCGGTTTAAAAGACATGTATATGTGAGCAGTTCACGTACAAACACGGGGGAATAAAGTTTAGTTTAAACCGTTGGCTCCCAAAGGCGTGCAATAGAACCAAGATGGCTGATTACCTTGAGGTTAGCTCAATGTGTTCAAAGTGCATCTCCTACAGACGAAAGACTTAAACAACTGCAAAATTTTGCATTTTTATTGAAACACTCATGTGTTATCTAGGTGTTACTTACAGTTCTTTACTTTATGGTTAGAAAAATATTTTTTATGCTAGGCTTTGATGCCAATAGTATGTAGTTTGGCTTTTTCGAATTCAACGAGATGTTTATTCATTTTCACCACCGTAAATTAATAATATTCACTGTGCGCACTTTTGTATCGGATTTTGATTTCGATTGCTGTGGTTTTCGCATTTTTGTACCGGTTCACCTGAGCTGCATCGAGACCATACTCTTCTAACTGTTCATCTACCTATGGGAGCGCCGAAAATTTTGTAGCCTCTTTTAGTGTTTTGGTGGTGCAAAGGCCTTTGAGCTAAGAGCAGATCGCCTTGAAGCATACTAAACTTAGAGCGACAGTATAGAACCATGTCTTTTTCTCACTCGCGATTTCCACTTCATTGCCACTTGTCTTCCAATCCATCTATTTCATAATCCTATCAGGAGCAGGTCTTTAATGATGGTTTTAAATAGTTTAACAACCACCTCTCTTTTTCATGTTTCTTTGAGTAAGCATTGCGCAGCATATCTTGAGAAAATACCGGAGCACATTTGCTGGATTGCGTGCTAAATGGGAAGATATCCTGTATTTATTGTTGCCGAGTCTCTACTTTGACTGAAAAATTCATATTGTTTAAAGGCACCTTTCAAAGAGAAAGTGGGATTTTAACTCGAGTCTCGTTATCGAGGGGTAGTTAGAATGCTCCGAATCTTCAAAGCCTCCCGATCCCCCTGAACCTGTACAAATTCTCCCTGACTAAATGATGAACAAGTCCAAATCAAATCAGCCTCTTCGTTCAATGGGTATGAAGGCCACTAATGACAGCGCTGACTGACTCCATCCCCCTCCCCCTTAAAAGACGACAAGAACTTTGAACGGGCTGGTTTTGTTGGGACATGTTTATTAGTTAGAGTCGAGGAGAAGAAGTACAAGTTTGAGAGAATCGGGGGGATTTGGGGGATTCTGACCACTCTTCTATCACGAGGTTTGAACTGACTTCCACTTATTCTCTAAGAGGTACCTTTAAACAACCTATGTATTACGTTGGCAGTTTGGTCTTTTTTAGACTGCTTATTTGGTGCAGATCTAGGGGGGTTTGCTGTTCTACTACAAGATCGAGACTTCATTTGTTATGAAAAATCATTGTGTTTTCAATAGGTAATATTTTGTGCTTTTTTATTTTATATTTGGATTGTTCCTTCAACGAAGTTGGTCATGCATTTGGATCTAATCGTGTTCGGGGGCGTTGAATGCTCGAAAGCCTGTAAATATAAGGTGGCCAAATGAACCTATTTGCATTTTTTTCATATAAACTCAATAGGTGGCGAAAGATTCATATAGTATTATATTCTTTCAAATGTTTGCCGCTAAAATCCATGACTCCTGCTCAAAAGACAAGTCAGCTACAAATCTCACGCTCTCATTTGTCTCAACCTCCAAAAACCCTGCCTTAGCCAACTTCGTTTTAAACTTACTCATAGTTCTAATGATTTTCACTATATTTTGAAAGTGGCTACCTAGTATAAGGAATTGAAAGTGCCCATAGCTCGGAGAAATTTAGTAGGAGACAAAGTGGATGATAAAGTCAGATAGTATTCCTCATTCTGAGATGTAGATGTCCCCAAACACCAGTTATTTAGTAATGGTTCCAGGGTTGTTAGGTAAGAATAAGACTATATATCCCTTCCTACTGTTTAGTCCTGGCCGATTCTGATGGAAGGCACTCCTTCTGCAAACGTTTTAGCTGTATGGTATTGAGTGGACGGATCCCAACAGTAACTATTACATGGCCTTTAGAAAGTGAGCAATTCACAGTAAGTCTGTCTGAAGTTCACCACGCACCAAGCATGAACATCATGCAGGGTTGAAGTGGTGCCTCATAACCGCGATGCAGAAAGCAAATGGGTCTTCCAAGAATATATGGTGACATGTTTTGTTACTTTCGAGCTGAAATACCAAATTATTTCCCACCGCAATACATTCATCCATCTAGAGTTATAGTATATTTATTAGTAACATAAGAGAAGACTAGATTAATAGTTTTGAAGCATACCACTATCGGTTAATGCATTTGGGCAGCATCTATTCGGCTTTTATGACTTCCCAGTTGATATGAGTGTGCATGAACTGCTTCATGGTTGTGGATTGTTACGGACAGCCCTGAAAAGTGATTTCCGATATTAATGTTATAAATCATCAAAGATAGTGGGTCACCTTGAAGATGATTCGTCTGATGACCCATCATCCGAATCATATTCTTTAAGGCATTTGCCAGCAGCGCGCTTTGCTACCTTACCTTCCTCAAACGCTATATGAGAGGCTTCTGAAGCTTTGAAAGAGTGCTAAGCTAATGGCCACGACAAAGAGAACCGATAGGATGCCATACACCCATGCCCTGTAATACATGGACGAAGGCCATTGGAGTGAGCAGCACCTATTAATATGACAATACCTTAAATGAGTTTGAAAATCTACGCCGACATTATGCAGTATGTCGACCAAGTTTTCCAGCCCTTTCAAAAAATAAAAAGCTTAGACTATTTGATATAAAGTGCAAGTTGCCTTAAAATGTAATAAAGCGTGATTCTAAATCTTCCTTAAAACCCATGAGTTAAAGTGGTATTTGAGTAAGCTCTTAATAGTGCCTGAAAATCCCTAATAGGTATCCCACACAATGATGACGATATACTATGCTCAAGCAAAAACACGATTACAATGAAAATTTGAAGTGCAATTAAGGCCCAGAATTACTTGAGGTTATTTGGGCAAAACTAAGGCTCATACATTAGGCTAATCGTCAGTGCAAAAATAACATGGTTATTTGAATACACCTTTTAGATGACATGCCAGCAGTTTGCGCAAACCTTTTGGCTGAGCGGCGCCATCAGTCCTTGGGGAGGAAACGGTCTTCCATTTCCCTTAGACTTTAGTGACCTGTAAACTCCCACCATGCGTCTCAAATAAAAGATGCCCCTTCTGCCCAAACTTCTCATTCTAAGGATATGCAAGAGAAGGTGGAAGGAAGGAATGGGGAATCCATTACAGCACGTCTCGACTCAAAGTGTAGTTTCCAGTCCTTTGCTTGGACTGACCTAGCATAAATTGCGTAACTCCATTATGAAGTCCCAGTCATGCTGTTAGCTAATACTTACCTATAACTACAAATTGCAATGATCTAGGTTTCGTTTCCCGCCAAATGAAGGCGGAGAAATTAGATAAAGTACACTACCTACAAAGTAAATCGGTTATAATATTGTTGAAATGTATATTAAAATAACCTTTGTCCATCTTTTAAATCAAATAAAAGTTTCAAGGTCTCGGAAAGTGGGGGCAAATCAATACTAATGTGGAATACCGGTAAAAGTCAGCTCGGAAAAAAAATAACAAGAAGTTGTCTCCCGCAATTTTTATCTATACTTCTTTTTTGGTATCACGTAAAGTTCATGACAAAGCGGAAGGTGACTTGACATGGGTGTGTAGTAAGTTGATGTTTCATTTAATCGCTTGCTTAACTACGCGGACTCTTTGGTCCCTATGGTTTGTACTCACACTTTGATGCATAGCCTTCGAGCCAATCATAACAATCTCCTAATTCTTCTGTACGTTAGCATTAGATGCTCTTCCATACTACTTTGACTCATTACGGGCTTACCAAAGTCCCAGCCTACTGCTGGCAAGTGTCTCAAAACCCGCATCAATTTATGGTTTAGAAACCCAAATACAGTCGAGGCGAATGATGCCAAATAGATTGTGGGGAAATAAATAGCTTGAATTCAATAAGGTAGTAGCTATAAATGTTGTATCTAACGACCGCATTTGATAGAATTCGAATTAGAAGGAATACGAAGACCAATGAGTGTGTACTTAAATTGTTGCTTCAGTTACTGAATAAAGCATGTATATTAATTAATATACGGGTAAGGTAAATTTAAGATCTTGGTCTGCCACGGCACCCACATTCTTCGGATTGCATATAAGGCAGCCATAGTCGCATATTTTCTTTCAAAAGTTTCATAACGATTGCTGATTCTTTATATGGTTCTTCTGATAGATTGTCAATTTCTGCAATGGCATCGTCATATGCAGCTTGCAAGAGTTTATAAGCCTTATCAACGGCGTGAACAATATCAAAGTAAAAAGCAGCGAAATTTAGTGCAATCCCAAGCCTCAAAGGGTTCGTAGGGGCTAAGTTTCCCGACGCTATCTCAAAAGCGTTCTTGTAAGCATTTAAGCTATGCTCAGCACAATCGCTTCTGTCATTACCAGTTTCGAATTCAGCAAGATATCTATAGCAATCGCCATTGCTTCCAAGCATAAAAATAAAAAGAGGCACATACAGTTTATAATAAAAAGCTTTTACATCAGGTTCCTGTTCAACCTTTAATAAACAGGAATCAATGTACGCTAGTAATTTACGCACCATTAGGCGTATTTCGGCTTCAATGGTTTCGCGATATTTTAAGAAATATTGATATTCAGAAGAGCCACTTTTCTCGGCATTTTGCACAGCAACAGTTATTTCGTCCCAGGCTCGGCGCCTTGGAAGAAGAGCATTTTTATATGCTGTTGAAAGTAAATTTCTCTCCTCAGCTTTTAGCTCAACATTCATCCGTAAGATAGAGTCCATAAATATAACCATATCTGAAGGCAAGATAAAAACATGCTGCAAGTACCGTCAAATCGTCCAGCTTGCTCCGCTAATTTTGCATTGTACAAACAGTCATCTTTCGATACCATTGGTGCGCAATATCGAAGAAATAGTTTGTATGTCGGCTTAATATCTGACGATTCAAACATCGGGATTTGGGAAAATTTGGCCTTTATTATCTGCGGAAGCTTTGTAATGCTGTCCTAAAGTGTAGAATTTGTATTTACACCTGTTGCGCAGCACACACATGACATTAATATGGTGCCCATGAGGTAGGAAAATTTTGACAGAGCAATAAATATCAGATTGTTCTGAGAAGAAGGTGACTTGGAATGGTATTATTTAGCAGATTCTTGACTTGTAAAACTAATGGGTGTGTCCTTTAAGTCTACTTAATTTTCATTAAAAATTTTTCCCAAAATATATTAACGAACTATCATGCAGTTTATTATTGCTGATCGTGGCCAGAGGATCTTAGCTTATAAGACCTGCTTAATTTCTTCCTAAAAAGCTTACTAAATAAGATCTTTAACAGAGTTCTTTACGCTGTCTTAGCTACTCTCTTTCGGGATGGGTCGCTTTCGGCGTCCTGCTAACTAGATGGTGCAGGTGGAAATTATGTGCTACGCGTATACCTTTTATCTATTTCATCTTTTTCCAGGAAATTCAAAATGGATCACTTACGATCTAAGGCTTAAGCTAATGGTACATTTCTTTTAACCTTAGAGATACTTTTGCTAGTCTTTGTTGGTTTAGTAAATTTCAAAGAAGTCACCGGATACTTATTTGTTACATTTACAGTGTA